CTCTAGAGTTTGCAGTATATATTTTTACCTAATCTAAGTCTACTTTCTCATAACAATATACAATTTCCCAATTAGTGCACATACCCAATTATACCTTTTCTCTTCCTCTGCCTAAATCTATTTCACTTCCTATAAGTTATTATAATTGCTATTATTATTTGGAACACTTTACAAACTAAAATAAGAAAAATATTTTAAAATTTTATATTCATTTATTCCTTCTCTAGCATGGTTTGTTTATTTATGTAGATTTGAATATCTGACCTATAATATATTAGTCAAATTTGCATCACTATAACCAAAATATCTGACAATAACAACTTAGGAGGAAAGATTTATTTTGGCTCGTGGTTTCAGAGGATTCAATCCATAGTTGGTTGGCTCCAAGGAGGAAACATCGTGGTGGAGGAAAGCTGCTCAGTTCTTGGCAGGTAGGAAGCAAAGAGAGAAGGAAAGTGGGGAGCCTGAGAGAAGATAAACTCTTCTAGGGCATGCCCACAGGGACCTCTTTCCTCCAGTAGATCCCACCTTCTTGTCCATTCAGTCCTCATGATCTAATCACTGCCTAAAAGCCCCACCTTGCTGCACTGGGGACCATGCTTTCAACACAGGAGCTTTTGGGCGACATTCCAGATCTAAACCACAATACCTAATATTATTTTCCTTTCTGAAGAACTTAACATTTCTTGCAAGGTAGATTGACTGTTGATGTGGTGCAAGGTGTGGGAGAATTGAAGGCATTTTATAAACTCAGAATAAGAGCTTATCTCTTACTCAGTCTATGACCCTAGGATGTGATGTTTACCAGTGTTTATCAACTCCCTCTCCCCCATTTAGGTGAGATGAGAAGGCTAGAGATGGTTAGAGTTAGTTAATTCCCTTATCTCGTGTTGATTAGGCTCTGGCAAGGTAATTTCCCCTTTGCCTACTGGAAACCAGACTGGCTCTGATCTTCACTTTGAGAGCCTGGTGGGGCTCCTGGATATAAACTCTGTCCCAGTAAGCTGTTATTCTCTGTATTCATTTGTTTTCCCCTAGTTGTTAGATGTTGGTTTGTCTGTAATCTTAATTCTCTGATGAATCCAGGAAATACAGTTTTTCTTTTCTTGTGAAAGCAGGAATGAGGAACTTTAAGCTCTTTTATCAACAGTGGAAACCTCAATTTACTTCTTTTTAAAATTTATTTTTTATTTGTTCTTTTTAGACAGTAGACTATATTTTGACATATTTATACAAACATGGAATGTATCTTTTTAAAAAATTTGTTACATATGACAGCAGAATGCATTACAATTCATATTATACCTATAGAGCACAATTTTTCATATCTCTGGTTGTACACAAAGTAGAGTCACACCATTTATGACTTCATACACATGTACTTAGGGTAATGATGTCTATCTCATTCCACTATCAATTATGGGCTGGGGTTGTGGCTCAGCAGTAGAGCGCTCGCCTAGGGTGTGTGAGGCCCTGGGTTCAATCTTCAGCACCACGTTAAAAAAAAAAAGTAAATAGAATAAAGATATTGTTTCCAATATCTGTATTCTCTGACCATAATGAATGGTTTATTAGGCAAAAGAGAAATCACAATAGAAATTAGACAATATATGGGAATAAGTAATAGTAAAAATATATCTAAACTAATTAAGGTAGTTAAAATGCTTATTACTTGTCTTCCTTAGCTAGCATGTAAACTTCACAAAGACAGACATATTATGCTTTATTAAGATGTATCCCAAGCACCTAGGTACGGATGTCTAGTTAGGCATCCATTAAATATTTGTAAATAAATTAATGAATGCAAATTAGAAATTTAAAGCATTAAACATCATTTTAAGAAAACTGAAAAATAAGTTCAGTAGCAAATCTTAATAACTTAAAAATGGAAGATATGAACAGAAATTAATTAAAATCAAAACCAAAAAGCTAAAAAGGCCTAAAGAAATAATCTCCCAGTAGAAATGAGCACATCTAGTGCTAGAAATGTGGTTTCTAAATACCATTTCCAATAAAATGAAGGAGAGCTACTTGGAGAAATGGCTGATTCCATGCTGGGCAAGAAAAATACACACATAAAATACATGAAATACATAGTGATAGTAATGTACTTTAACCCACAGAAAAATAAATATCCATTAACCTCAATGATGTAAATAACTGACCAAATGAATAGGACAGATAAAGCAGTTCTACCCTGCAGTTGAAATTCAATTAATGAATGTAGGAGTAATGATAAAAATAGAAATCACTTTGGGTACACACCACAATAATAACTGTGGCAAGCAAAAGTCATTAATGGATGCTAAAACAAATAATACTTTCAGCTATAATTTTCAGCTATGTACATGACTCAATTGAAGTGAAGACAGACAGACATCTAGGATTGACTTTGTCAGTGTTCAAGCAATGACAGCTATGTTATAACTGCTGTGTGGTCAACACCAACTATATAGTCTCATCAGTTATCAGAGGTATTCATGCATCAGAGGTGTTAAAGTGTGCAAAAATGTGTGACTAAAGATAGACTTACCCAGGTATTATCATTATGTGTTTTTGATAAATTTCTCTCTATTTCAATTTTTAACCCTTAATTTTCTGTTTACTAAGTTGTCTAGGTATACTTTTTTCTCTACCGGTTTTGAAGTTTTGACCTTTATTTCTGTTATTTTAATGGTTACCCTTCAAAATTCAGTGTACTTGCTGGCATTAACCATGAATCTAATCAGTATCTCTGCTTTTCTGGATAATAAAAGGCTATTATGGGACTTTGATACCTTTCTTCCTACATTGTACATTGTTTTTGTCAATGTTTCCAGTCTGCTTTATCTGAAGTTGCAGTTTTTCATTGGTATGCAAGTAGCTGACTAATGTCCGATTTCTCCCCTAGACTGCAAAAGTAGATGTCATGATTGTTTTTGTCATTATTTAATTTTACTAGCTTGAATGGGGCTTGGCTTATAGTAGAAAATAAATACTCCCTTAATTAACTGACTGATTATTCTCATGTAAAGAGCGTTCCCTGGTAACTGGAACAACCTGTTTGTTCATATGAAATATACATCTCTGTAAACATTTTAGTCAATTTATCTTAGATTGAGGCTTCCAGTATACCCTGGAAGTTTATTAAGGCTGTGTGCAGCCATCAAATAACGGGTATGGGGATGTTTCAGATATGTGTTAACACATAGTCATGTTCATGTGAAATAATATGAAAAGAAGATTTAGTTTATAAAGTGATGGGAATGTACTGATTGAAATCAGCCAGAAGTATGACCTTGGACTGGTCTGATATCTTCTTTTCCAGTGGTGACATGATAAGTTATTTATCTAGCTGAAATCCCCATTTTCCTTTCATACTTTTCTGTTGGACATCAAGATTTATTTGCTGCTGTGGTCACTTGCTTTTAGAAAAAAGGCTGGAGGTTTCTACCACCCTCCTCAAGAAGCAGAGGCATTTGTCTGGAGTGGATACTGTTCTAAGTGGACAAGAGCTGGGAAAGGGCCATTTCTTCTAGGCTTGGGCACCACACCAGTAGAAAAATTCATCATGGAGTGGGACAAAAAGGTTTTCTCAGCCCTTTTCCATAAAGCATCAGGCCTTCTCCCCTCCATTTGCTTTCTTCAGTTTTCTTTTTACATCTGTATAATCCCCTCTTTCAGCTGTTCCCTTAGAACTACTGAACAGGTGAAAATGAAATACCATTACATGAATGAAGATGAGAAGGGAATCTTAACTGATATAAATAAGTTTAGTTTCTTTTTACTATTAAGAAGCTTAGGCTTACAGTTTATATTTAATATCATCTATTACAGTATTGATAACATCAAAACCTTTGGAGGATGGGTAAGAAAACTGAGCATGAGTTCACTGGACTATAATGTACAATTTATATTTTATAAAAATTCTTATTTTTTTGTTTAACATGAGCATTACTAGTTGACAAAATTGTTGATAGATTTAGAAGGAAAAGAAAGAAAAATATTAGGGAACACAGAATTTTAATAAACACACTGAAACTATAGCTACAGAATGTTATCTAAGTACTGAGTTTCAATACTAGGTCACCTTTTTTTCTTTCTCTTTCTTTAGAACATTATCATAACTAACACTTGACGTGGTGCCTAGCATATTTTGGCTTCGCAGTAAATATTAGCTCATTGATATGTGAAGGGATAAATGGATGAAGGGTGGATAAAAGAATGGAAGACAAAATGACTTCTATAATACAAATAAATATACATATAAAATTATAGAGATTTGAAAGCATAATGATCTTTTAATCATGTAGATAATATAGAGGAAAGGATTGATCTATTTGAACACTAGATTTTTCAAAAATAGAAAATACTTTCTGAAATTACAAGTGGAAAAGAATAAAATGAAGACAAATTGAAATAGAAATAAACTTATATTAGATGATACATATTCTTAAATGTGGGAATGCTTTGGTTGCTGAGTCAGAAGCTGATTTTAAAAGACTTTATTCTCATTTTAACCTGATCTATTCTAGGATTTTGTCAGGTTGAAATTTTTTCAAATATCTATTTAAAATGAATCAATTCATTTCTGAATTATCATCGTTTCTCATTTAGTGAAATTGAACCAATCAATGGATTTCACTACATATCATCTATTGAGTTTAATGCTATACATCTAGAAAACATTTCCCCTTATATTTTAGATCTATGTGACTAATGTCATCTTTTTTCCCCATGCTTTAGTATTGTGAATATTAAGAAGTGTGGGTTCTGGTGTCAAGACAGATTTAAATTTCAGTCTCCAATCTGCTCCTCCTTAGTGAGAAAGTTGTTCAACTTCTCAAACCTTCGTAGCACCCTGTGTAAGGCAAAGGTGATACCTAGCACTACCATAGGAGGTTGTTGGGAGGATACAATAAACTAGTATATGTAAGTACATAGCACAGTCTATGGGCTATGTTAGGTATTCTGTCACTGGCAACAACAATCATTCATTCATTTATTTATTTTTTCTGCAGCTTTCCCCACAAACAAACCAGACAGAGATGCAAAACATGTTATAAAAGTGGTAAGTATTGCTCTTAAATTTGTGTTTTACACATATTTGACATTTTTCCTCTTTGCTTTATTTTTGTAAAAGTTTCTCATCTTAATTTTTCTTACAATTTACATATCAATAACCTAATGTTATATTTTCACATTATTAACATGCTACTATTGAAGAACCATTGTTATGGAAGACCATCCATCATTCTGATGGATGGTATTCTCCAGCAATCTGTCCTCCCTCTTTTTTCCCCTCCTCTGGACATAAGGTCCTTAAAGGCAGGCATAAAGTTTCATTTCTGTATGTGTGCCCCATGCCTACTACAATGAATATAGCCCAGTAGACATTTGGTAAAGGTGTCATGTATGAGTGAACCAGCAGGGTAGTTTCCAGCTGTCCGCTCTGATGTACGTGTAGTTACTCAGTGTGTATGTTATATTTATGTATGCAGCTCTCAGTGCTTTTAGTAAGTGCTTTCCATAAGGCTACTTTCATGTGTAAGACTATATTGGGATAGAAGTACAATATGTTGTTTAAAAATGAGATTCTTCAAGTTTATTTAGTGTTTTCTGAGATTTTTAGTGGAAATCTGGTGCCTGAGTTTTAGAAAAAATGATTCAGGTACTATAATGTATTACATATGTGTACTTACATTTTCACAATTGAAATATCAATTCTATCTCTAGGATAATTTTTCCTAGTAAAATTAATGTTTCTTTTCTTTCATAGGAATATCAAGAAAATGGCCCGTTATTTTCAGAACTTAAATTTTATCAGAGAGCTGCAAAAAAAGACTGTAGTAAGTAAAATTAGCCAAGCAAGCTACTTCCATATATGTACTTGCTAAAGTGAGTGTTAATATTTTGGTCTTTTTCTGGCCTTCTGGAAAATTCTTTTCTGTAAGAAATTTTATTGTAAAGTGATACAGTTAACTGTTATAACATATAAAAGCAAGACAGATGGTATACAAATCTTGATATGGCATACATAATGGGTTATATATTTTAAGTCTAAATTGTTTCTACTACTTAACATAAAATGTTGAGTTGTTGATCAAAGCTACCAAGAGTTCTCTAAGTATAAAAGATAGTAAAATGAAATTATTTTTTTATGAAGAACAATTTGGATAGGAAGGATATACAGAAAAGACATTAAAATAGGCAGTAGACATATATACAAAAGGATTGGTTGTAAAATGGATTAGAATAGGTGTCTGGAAATGATTAAATGTTAAGAAAATATTTGAAACTTCAATGTTGGGAAATTAATTGGAGTTGTATATCATATGCCAGTTAAAGAATTTCAATGTAAAATGAGAATGAGTAGAGAAGGATAAAGCATTTTTAAAACAATATATATCATAGTTAGGCTAAGTAAAACATTAAGGAATTTGATAGGGATAATCACTAGTATGGCTAAAGTTCTTTACCTTATGCTTAAATAAAGGAATGATATGTCTGGCCTAAATAATTAACTTTGTTTTCCTTAAAAAGCCTGTTAAACATTAAGATTGTAGTCCTTACTAACTGCTTAAACTCTGTCAGAGTGACAAATAAAATCCATTAAACTTGATTGTTTATCGGTAGAGCTGTCTTAAACATGAAACACATATGGTAGAAAAGTGAAAACATGATTAAGCCACCTGATTCTTTAAATCAATTTGATTTTTTTTTGTAAACTAAGTTTAATAGAAAATTTTCTATATTATAGTTTCAGAATAAGATGATTTTTCTGTCCAATTCTTATTGCTTGGAATATCATGGTTTTAGATTTTAAAATACAAGCAATAAGGAGGAAAAAAAAAAAGCCATGTCAGTATTGAGCCTTTGGAAGTTAACAGGTGTAATGTTTAGAAATTTAGTACATAAGAAAATGATTTTTTCATAAATATTAATGTTTGTGAATATAATACCAATGTATTTTGAAGACTATAAGTTCTTACTATTGATTTAATGTCTATATTTTTTGTATTACACTGATAACATTTTGAACTCATTAGACAGGTATATTTATTTTAAAATTTTTATTTTAAAATAAAAATACTATTTTTGTTAGCTCTGTGAGTCTTAGCATGTACACAAAGATTGAAAATATAATGTGAATAATTTTTCTTGTTAAATTTGTCTTTGCAGTCAAAAAGTGGATAGAACTCAAACAGCTTGATTATTTAGGAATTCCTTTGTTTTATGGAACTGGTCTGACTGAATTCCAGGGGAGAAGGTAAAAGGAAGTTAAAATATTATTATAATCTTTTATACAAGACCAGAGTACTACTTATTCTAATTAGGATCCTAGTCTTGTGATTGTATATGATATGGAGATTCACTGTTGTACATTCATATATGTATATAGGAAAGTTAAGTCAGATTGATTCTACTGTCTTTCCTATTTCTGTCACCTCTCCCTTCCCTTCATTCCCTTTGTCTAATGTACTACTGTTCTTCTCCTTCCTACCTTGTTGTGTGTTAGCATCCACATATCAAAGAGAACATTTGACCTTTGGATTTGGGGGATTGGCTTATTTCACTTGTCTCTAGATCCATCCATTTACTGGTAAAAGTCATAACGCCATTCTTTTTTTACGACTGAGTAATACTCCATTGTATATATATATAGAAACACACTTTATTTATCCATTCATCTGTCGAAGGGCACCTAGGTTGGTTCCATAGTTTAAGCTATTGTGAATTGAGCTGCTATAAACATTTATGTGGCTGGGTCACTGTAGTATGTTGATTTTTAAGTCCTTCAGGTACAAACTGAGGAGTGGGATAACTGGATCAAATGGTGGTTCCATTCCAGGTTTTCAGAGGAATCTCCCTACTGCTTTCCATAGTGGTTGTAAGAATTCACAGTCCCACCAGCAATGTGTGAATGTACCTTTTCTCCCCACATCCTCACCAATCTTTATTGTTACTTGTATTCTTGATAATTGCCATTCTGACTAGAGTGAGATGAAATCTCAGTGTGGTTTTAATTTGCGTTTCTCTAATTGCTAGAGATGTGGAATATTTTTTCATATATTTGTTGATCAGTTTTGTTTCTTCTGTGAAGTGCCTATTCAGTTCCTTTGTCCATTTATTAATTGGGTTATTAAATAACTATTCTTTATGGTATTTACTAGTTATCTGTTGCTGTGTAGCAAAACATAGTTTCTTATAGTAATAAACTTACAATATATTTGTTTCTGTGGGTCAGGAATCTGCAAGTGACTTATCTGAAGGAACTCTCAGGGACTCGCTTGAGAATATAATATAGTCAGCTCTCCGCCAGGCTGCAGTTATATCAAGCATGGATTGAGGAAGTGTCTGCTTTCAAGGTCACTCAAATGCCTTTGGCAGATCCAAGAAGACCTGCTCTTAACTTTAGTCATGTGATTGTTTGCAGGCCTTGCTTCCTGACTTTGTAGATTTCTGCATAAGCTATGTGGGTGTTAAAAAGAAATGGCAGTTGGTTTCCCCTAGAGCAAGTGATTAAAAGGGAAAGAGACCATATGCAAGAGAGTGCATCTACACTGAAATTATGGTCTTTCTATAATCTAACCCTAGAAATGATAGCCTGTTACAGCAGCTGTATTGCCTTTGCTTAAAACAAGTCACCTAGGTTCAAATGATATGAGAGGAGATTCAGTCTCCATCTCTTTAAGAGAGTACAACAAAGAATTTCTAGAAATATCTTTAAAGCCACCCAATATGAAAGTCATCATATATAAATAATTCATTAATAGAAAAAAAGTAAAGCAATGTCATTTGTTATATATTCATTTCATGCCCAGAATTTCATATATCTCATTTTGTCCTTTGAGTAGCCTTTTTAAATAGGTGATATTATTTTTGTTTCACAGATGAGAAAATAGGAACAGATGTCAGCACTTTGTTCAGATTATCTTTAAACATTATAAATAAAAACAAAATGAGGGATTGAGGTTGTGGCTCAGTGGTAGAGAGCTGCCTATCATGTGTGAGGCACTGGGTTCAATTCTCAGCACCACATATAAATTAATAAGTAAATAAGGTCCATCAACAACTAAAAAATATTTTTTAAAAAATGAGAAACAAATGATCATGAAACTAAGTGAAAGACTGCCAATAGGGGACTGAATGGCTTTGTGAAGCATGATACATTCATATTGTGCAATATGCATCCTGTTGAAGAAGTCAGAGCTATACCAGTTGACTTGGAAGGATGTATATGAGATACTATTTAAATAATTAGTGTAGAGAAAGTTCATGTGATAAGATCACATTTTTATAAAACACAAATCCAAAATGTTCTTCGTGTATGTGTATGTATGCATAGATAGGTGCAGAATGGGGCTAATGTGGGTATGTACACAAAAGGAAGATAAGGGGTGGAATATGCTGAACAGAAAAGAAAACATACAACTGCACTTTAAAAAAAAACATGTTTATGAATATATGGGGAAGCAAATATGATTTTTATAAGGTCAACAAACAAATATAGATAACATTTTATGTATGCACCCATAATTTGTTCAGGGCTATATGGCAAGAAGTTGATGGAATTAAAATGAATTAAACTTAGGACTATCTAATTTAAAAAGACCATTCCCTTTTCATTATCTAAAGGAATATGAATGATTCAGTACAGCATTCTCTTTGACTACAAAACTAACAGCAAAGAAAGTACCGAGAAGTATCTTTTTGCAAAAGACTAACAGGATTGTTAATGTGCATTTATTCTCTAAGGTGCAGATTGCACCATTTTTGGTTCTTAGGTTGAAGGTATTTTTCCTTGTTTCACATTTATTAATAGACAGCTTCAAGCATTATAATCTCGTGGAGATCTCTTTCTGATGTCTCTTTCTTATAGTTACAGATTTATGGTAATGGAAAGACTAGGAATAGATTTACAGAAGATCTCAGACCAGAACGGTACTTTTAAAAAGTCAACTGTCCTGCACCTGGGTATCAGAATGGTAAGAAAGAATGACTTGTTACAAATACAAATCTTTGCCCTTTGTGGAATTATCAGAAAATGAAGGATTATTGCCCTAGAAATGTCAATTATTGAGAGTAGAGGCTATTTTGGTGAAATTGATAACAATGGGCTCTGTAAATGACAGAATGTGTGCTGTTTGGTCCTGCAAACACAATTAGGTATTGGTGCTATAGTCTTTTTCTCCTTGTAGTTTTGTTTTACATATCAGTACAAGTTTACATTACTTTAAGAATAACCTCTCATTTGTCAGTTGTATTTATAACAATGCAAGCTATGGCCAAATATATTATTTTGCATCCTAAATATGATGATATGGGAGGGTGCGTTAAAGTTTTTAGTATGAGTTGGGGATGGTGGCAATAATTAGTTGTGGTGATGAATTATACACACACACACACACACACACACACACATATATATATATATATTTTTTTTTTTTGCTAAATAAGGAGCAATGAAATCTTTGTAGCACACATGCATACCCTTGTTTATACCATATATTTGTTTTATCTTGTTTGTATTTGGCTTGTTCAAGTCTCATTCTATTTTTTTCATTCATTTATTTGTTTGTTTATACTGAAGATTAAACAGGAGTACTCTACCAATGAGCTGTACCCAAGCCCTTATATATTATTTTGAGACAGGGTTTTACCAAGTTGCCCAGACTGGTCTCAAACTTGTGATCATCCTGCTTCAGCCTCCTAAATAGATGGGATTACAGGTGCGCACCAGTACACCAAGCTATTTTTTCCATTTTACATAGAATGAAATTACTCATGCCAAAATTGGATGTAACAGATAGAACTCACGAATTTCCTGCTAAACCAGTAAATGTTTATCGAGCATTAGGTTCTATAACATGGAAGGGCAAAGGGCTTTAAAGATGAAGCTCTGAAATTTTCTATTACTACATAGAGGATGAATACTTATGGGCATATTTTGTTTTGACTTCCCCAAGGTTTACTTATATAATTACTGCTTGGGTGAGAAATTACTGAGTGGTCTTCATCATTATTTCACTGTAGATCTCTGATTTTATGCTGTTTTTCCTATTAGTACAGTGCCATTTAGCCATTGGGCTCACTAGAGCAAAACCATTGCTGAATTCTGTTTTGTTTTGTTTTGTTTTTTCATCAGAGGTTCAGTTAAAACATTTGCTACTTGAGGATCATGTTGTTGAATTTTTTTACCTAATGAGCAATCAGAAATTATGATATTTTAGGATAATTAACCAATAATTTTGAAGTATATCACTTTGTCATCATTAATATAAAATGTTAATCTGTATTTAAAATGTCCAAGTTGATCAGGAGTTCTAAATAACTGTATGACCTTATGTTATCTGTTTCTTTCACAGCTGGATGTACTGGAATATATACATGAAAATGAATATGTTCATGGTGATATAAAAGCAGCCAATCTACTTTTGGGTTATAAAAATCCACATCAGGTAAATAAAGTATTAAGCCTTTGCTTTTAGTAAGTATACTGTATTGAGACTATAAAAACAAACTCAACCCACTAGAGTTTACAAATGAAGGCCTAAAATGATGAATGTTTTAATTTATCTTACCTTGCTTATCTAATTTAATCCTTGCACCAAACTAATGAGTAATTAGGATAAGGAAACTGAGAGTCAGAGGGGTTAAATCATTTATTAATGGGCACATAGTTAAGAAGTGGCTAAGCAGAAATCTGAATTTCTAAATAAATATAAAAAAAGGACTATCAAATTCCAGTGAGAGCTGGGTGCAGTGGCATATACCTGTAATCCCAGCTACTCAAGAGGCTCTAATAGGAAAATCTCAAGTTTAAGGCCAACCTTAGCAATTTAATGAGACCGTGTCTTCAAAAGGGCTGGAAATGTAGCTCAATGGTAGAGTACTTATGTAGTATGCACAAGGCTCTGAGTTCAATCCATAGTACTGTTGGGGAAACCACCAGTAAAAGGTTTTCTTCTCTTATTGTATAATCAGTTAAGTTTTAAATAGAGGCCGGGTGTGATGGCACATGCCTGTAATCCCAGAAGCTCGAGAGGCTGAGACAGGAGGATCACCGGTTCAAAGCCAGCCTCAGCAATGTCGAGGCGCTAAGCAACTCAGTGAGACCCTGTCTCTAAATAAAATACAAAATAGGGCTGGGGATGTGGCTCAGTGGTTGAGTGCCCCTGAGTTCAATCCCTGGTACTCCCCCACCTACAAAAAAAAAAAAAAAGAAAGAAAAAGGAAAAGTTTTAAATAGAGAAGGTTTTCTGTTAAAACTTTCATTTATAATGGAACTGTGCTGTGTTTCTCCAATATGGTCACCATTAAGAACTGTGGCTGTTAAGTTCTTGAAATGTGGCTAGTACAATTTCCATCTGCTGGCAAGTGTGTGGAGCAAAAGATACTCTCTTTTATTTCCGATGATAATGCAAAATGGTGTAGCCTCTGCATTTTTACTGTTTGTTAGGAAATGAAAACTCCAGCCATACCATCTAGTAATTATGCTTCTCTATATTTACTTAAAGGAATTGAAAACATTTGTCCACACAAAAAACCTGCACACAGATGCTTATAATAGTTTTATTCATACTGGTTGATACTTGGAAGCATCCAAGTATTCAGAGGACTGGATACACCCAGACAATGGAACATTATTTCGTGCTAAAAAGACACTATCAAGGTTTGAAAATTTAAGTGCACATTAATACGTAAAAAACAGTAAGTCTGAAATGGCTGTATACTGAATACTTAAATTATTTGATGTTCTGAAAAAAGGTATAACTATGAAGACAGTAAAGGATCAGTGGTTGAAGTGAAGGAAGGATAAACAGGCAAAAAAACAGTTTTTAGCTCAGTGAAACTCTACTGTAGACCACAGTGGTAGATGCATGTCAGTATTTCTTTATGAAGGCCCATAGAGTGTAAGCCAAGAGTGAACCTGTGTAAACTGTGGACTTGAGGTGATAAAGATATGTTAGTGTAGGTATATCCATTGTAACAAACACACCATTCTGGTGAGGGATATTGATGGTGGGAAGGCTCTGTCTACAATCTAGAGGTATGTGGGAACTCACTGTACTTTGCACTCAGTTTTACTTTAATTGCTCAAAATTTACATAAATTGAATCAAGAACTTCTCTAAAGTTTATTTTACAAATGTGGCCTATTTGACTAAACTAAAATTTGAATTTAACTTAATTTTAAATGATTTAAATGGTTACATGTAACTAATATCCATTGTATCAGCTCAGGTTTAAAGAGTTAATTATTATGTCTGTAAAAATTTAGAGGAAAAAAATCCATATTTAATTGACCTTTGCATGGGGGAAAAAGTAAATAAGAAACTTGGAAATATACATATGACAAATATTGAGAATATCTAGCACACACTAAAAACGTTCAGGGGTGGATGCCATGGCACATGCCTGTAATTCCAGCAACTTGGGAGGCTGAGGCTGGAGGATCAAGAGTTCAAAGCTAGCCTCAGCAAAAGAGAGGCACTAAGCAACTCAGTGAGACCCTGTCTATAAATAAAGTGCAGAATAGACCTGGAGATGTGGCTCAGTGATCAAGTGTCCTAGAGTTCAATCCCCAGTACCCTCCCCCAAACAAGTTAATAAGAAGGACACCAAATAGTTTCATAAAGCAATGATCAAAAGGAATGAACAGATAGAACACAGTGAAAAAAAGTCATCTTTACTATAAGTAAAAGATAGGAGACCTGAGCAGTAAGGCAACATTTTTAAAGGTTTTATACAAGGGAGAAGTCTGAAATAATAATATTCTGATAACATTGAGGCTTGGGAGGGTGCAGGCTCTTGTAGAATGCTGGGGGAGAATGTAAATTTAATGGTAATAGATGAATAAATTAAGTTAATGGAAGGACAGTTTGGCAATCTATATTAGAAGCCTTTAAAAAGTCAGCATAACGATCTACATTCGGTGGGGTCGGTCTCCAAATTCCTCAATAGGACACCCATAGCACAAAAGTTAATAACTAGAATCAACAAATGGGACTTACTCAAACTAAAAAGTTTTTTCTCAGCAAAAGAAACAATAAGAGAGGTAAATAGAGAGCCTACATCCTGGGAACAAATCTTTACTCCTCACACTTCAGATAGAGCCCTAATATCCAGAGTATACAAAGAACTCAAAAAATTAGACAATAAGAGAACAAACAACCCAATCAATAAATGGGCCAAGGACCTGAACAGACACTTCTCAGAGGAGGACATACAATCAATCAACAAGTACATGAAAAAATGCTCACCATCTCTAGCTGTCAGAGAAATGCAAATCAAAACCACCCTAAGATACCATCTCACTCCAGTAAGATTGGCAGCCATTATGAAGTCAAACAACAACAAGTGCTGGCGAGGATGTGGGGAAAAGGGTACACTTGTACATTGCTGGCGGGACTGCAGATTGGTGCAGCCAATTTGGAAAGCAGTATGGAGATTTCTTGGAAAGCTGGGAATGGAGCCACCATTTGACCCAGCTATTCCCCTTCTTGGTCTATTCCCTAAAGACCTAAAAAGAGCATGCTACAGGGACACTGCTACATCGATGTTCATAGCAGCACAATTCACAATAGCAAGGCTGTGGAACCAACCTAGATGCCCTTCAATAGACGAATGGATAAAAAAAATGTGGCATTTATACACAATGGAGTATTACTCTGCATTAAAAAATGACAAAATCATAGAATTTGCAGGGAAATGGATGGCATTAGAGCAGATTATGCTAAGTGAAGCTAGCCAATCCCTAAAAAACAAATGCCAAATGTCTTCTTTGATATAAGGAGAGTAACTAAGATCAGAGTAGGGACGAAGAGCAGGAGAAGAAGATTAACATTTAACAGGGATGAGAGCGGGGAGGGAAAGGGAGAGAGAAGAGAAATTGCATGGAAATGGAAGGAGACCCTCAGGGTTATACAGTGGAGGGGGTAGAGAGAGAGGAGGGGAGGGGAGAGGTGGGGAGGGGGGATGGTGGAGGATGGGAAAGGCAGCGGAGCACAACAGACACTAGTATGGCAATTTGTAAATCAATGGATGTGTAACTGATGTGATTCTGCAATCTGTGTATGGGGTGAAGGTGGGAGTTCATAACCCACTTGAATCAAAGTGTGGAATATGATATGTCAAGAAATTTGTAATGTTTTGAACAACCAACAATAAAAAATTAAAAAAAAAAAAAAACACACTGAAGGGTTAGAAGCCCTTGAAAAAATTAAAGTATATCTAACATAATGAAGCCACTGTATATCTGTATGCACATACGTTCAAGGGAGGGAAAAAAGCATATGAACTGGAAGATACACCTAACAGATAAATTGATATTCATTTCCACTTTGAGAAGTTTTAACTGAGCGTTTTTTTTGGAAAAGCTACATAATTTTCATTAGGTAGATAGTAAAAAAAATAAATAAATAAAATAAAAAGTCAGCATACTTTTTAAAGGTTAGGTTTATCAAGTTATAATTTACAAACAGTAAAATTCACTCTTTAAAATGTACAGTTTGATATGTTTTAACGCATACATACCATGTAACCACCACCACCACCATCAAGTTAACAGAACATTTTTTTTTTCATTCCCAAAAGTTCTTTCATTTCCTTTTGCTGTCAGTCCCCTTCTCTTGGCCCCACCCCCAGCAATGATTTCTACACTTGTATTTTTATGTTTCCAGGAAGGTTACATAAATGGAATTGTAAAGTATATACTCTCTTATGTTTGTCTTCTTTCACTTAACATAATGCTTTGGAAATTTATCCTTAGAGTTCATTCCTTTTAATTGCTGGCTAGTATTTGATTGGAAATTACAATTTCTTTATCTGTGGACATGTGGGTTATGTTTTTGATGAAATCATGTGTTTTGGATGAAATGATGTGTTTTTGATGAAATGACTATACACTCAGTATCCATGTATAGGTTTTTGTGCAGACTCGTGTAAATTTCTTTTGGGTAAATAACTGGAATTTCTGGGCCCTGTAATGTTTGTTTAACTTAGAAACTGCTACAGTATTTTCTGGAGCCATTGTGCTATTTTATAATTCCCATCAAGCAGTGTGTGATAATTCCATTTGCTCCACTTTTTGCTTTCATTAATTTTCTAAATTTTAGCCATTATAGTGGGTATTAGTCATAAATAGTAGTTTAAATTCTCATCAGTCATCTCTAGTGACAAATGATATTGAGCAAATTTCATGTGCTTATTTGCCATTCATATATTCTTTGGTGACTACGTCCATTTTAAATTGGTTTCTCTTCTTAGTTGTAGATATTTATATTTTATAGTTTATCAGATATTTGTTTTGCAGATATTTTATGCATCTATCTTTTCATTATCAATGTCTCTCAAAAAGCAGATTTTTTTTGATGAAGTCTGGTTTATGATTTCTTTTGTGATTTGTGCTTATTATGTCCTAAGCCATCATCATAAATATTTTCTCATACATTTTCTTG